AATTAATTTAAATGCCATTATGATTTATAAGTTCATGGGAAATGAATCTTAAGAATCATTTATGTTTTTTCCTTCTTTGTTTAAATCTCAGTTTTTATTGTTATTAATTACCTGATTTAACAGATACTTGTTGACCACTGACTCTACACAAAGCCTCTGCCCATCGCTCTTGTGGGATATACAGGTGGATAAGACATTATCCTTAGTCCCAAGGAGCTTACAGTATAGTAGGAGAATTAGGACGAGTTCATAAATAAGTAATACAGAAGATGAAAAATATTAAAATGCTGTATTGGCGAGTTCACAGGAAAGGGGAATTATTTTTCCTAGGATAGGAATAGTCTATGGTAGATCTCCCTAGGAAGTAGCATTTATGGCCTAGACGTTGAGAGATATGAACGGTCAGACAATGCAACATGGGGGAAAATGCTGTTTATTCTAGTAAGGGGCTCCGCGCAAGCACAGGGTGTATGTGGAGAAGCGTTAGGTGTATTAGGAACCTGATCTATCTGGCATTAAATGGAAGTAGATAGAGAGAAAACAGGCAAGGTCAGCTGGGGTGAGATCACAGAAGGCTTTCCATGTAATTTATATAATTACATTCAAATGTAGATCCACATTTATAAATATAGTAAATTAAATGTGATTTTTCTTTTCTTGAGCAAAATATTTATTATTATTATTTCTATCATGTTGTTAAATGTCTGCTAGAGGAAAAATTGTGACCTTTTACTGATTAGTGGCATTAAAATTAAAATTAATTAACTAAAATTATAACATGGGACATTGTTTTCTAAGAATGCTGATGTCCAGACTTTAATCACTTACTCTCTTTCTTTAAATGTTTCTAAGTTTATTTGGTCTTCTATTACATAGTTTTCATATAGAAAGCAGTTTAATTATTCTATTATCGCTTCTTAAGTAAAGGTAATTTAAAATGTTGACTATTTTAATCCTTAAATCAAACCAATTTATTTGTGTCTTGAGCGGTGTAAAAATATAGACTATTACCATATACTTAGCATGTTCATATATTTTATTCATTGTGTTGGTAAGTAAAGTTTTAATGTCCAAATTGTTTTAAAAGTTTATTTTCTTTATCGTAAAAGAAATACAAACTATTCTTTTGAAAATGAGTTTAGATTATACAGAAAAATAGAAAAATGTTCCTTTGTACCCCTGGCCACTGTACTTAGTGCTGAGTTTCTTTTTGTATAATGTTTATGTTTAGAAACATTTTCAGCAGGAAAGAGAATAAAGTGAGTTAGGTTAGTTTTTGTGTTCAGTGAGAGAATTTAGAACTGGTAGATAAACCAATGGGTTCCATACTTTTACTTATCATCCTGTGTTAAACAACTTTAAATCTTTGACTAAACTCTTAAATTTTCATTTAAATCAGAATGTAGTGGTCTGACTTAAATTGGAAAGCATCGCATATATTTTAGTTTATAAAAGTGATTTATTCCATAAACAATCTAACTGCTTATTTCATTCCTCTTTTAAACTGTTTAACTGTGGTAGAGATGTGAAATCTTCAACAAGAAGAAAATGCTGCTTCCATTCAATGGTGAAGAGCTGTGGTTATTTGACAGTATCAACACAGATACAATTATGTTTGTAGACTCACCGGAAGGAGTGAAAAAAACAGGTGTAGGGATTTGGAGAATTAAAATGGCAGGTTAAAGGCAGAGATGATTTGGAAGCACAACAAAAGATTCTTCCTTTGATTCAGACAGCTTGCTTATA